TCCATTAATTATATAAATTTATAGATTTATTTCAAAAACTTTTTTTACAAGTTGGTTATTTTGCTTAGATTTTTATTTTTATAGTTATTTTCTTGAAAATAGAAATATACAAAGAAATCTAAGTAAATATAATAAAACAATGATTAAAAAACCAAAGAGCTTTTTAACTTAATATAATTTGGTCTGCATACAAGATCAGTTAGTGTTTGATTAAATATTTTTATAATAATAACTAAAAGAAAATTTATTTATTTAATTTTAATATAAATATAAAATCATGCTATAATAATTTAGTCAAGGTTCACTATAAACTTTAATTAACAAAAATAAAATTTATTAATTACAATTTTAATTTTTAAAAATACTAATAATTTTTAATCGTTTAAAATTATTAAATAAACTTGATTTTTACATAATATTCATTTGCCAATTATTTAATAGCAAACAATTTTGAATAAGAATATATAAAATATTCATAAACTTTACCATTCTATATAAATAAAAATATTTTAGATTAATATATTAAAAAATAAAATTATTAAATACACGCAAAAACTGAAAATTTGCAGATAGCAGAAACTGAAAATTTTCAGATAGCGGAATCTAAAAATTAAAAAAAGTAAAAGTTTGATCGATTATAATGAATATATTATAATAAGGCACTCGGATAATGTGTACCAGGTTTGTGGTGCAAATATCCCGAACTACAATTCAAGATTAGGTGTAACGTAACACGGCCAGAAAGATTCAAAACAAACGTTCGTTCTGCAAAAATCGCCCATAACTCAAAAATCAGAAGAAGTAACCACCTTTAATGCTTTAACAAAAAATTTTCGATGGGCAATTTTACCATATAAACTTCCCCTCTCAAACTCATAATCCTGGCCTTAACCCTAACTTTAACAAATTTTAAAAATTTGTCTGCGCCACAAACCTAGTACACATTATCCGAGTGCTATCGCTATAATAAGTATAAATTTTTATCGTAATTTTTTAATAATTTTGAAGAATTAACTGGGTCAGAAAGGTTTATAAAATTAAGCAATTTACTTGTAAGCTCATCTTTAGGACCAATTGGTAATTCTGTTGATAAAGTAGGAATAATTTCATCTGCAAATTAGAATGCTCTTAATATTGTCAAACATCTTTATCTTTTGAAACACTAGTATCTATTATCTTATGCCATTTTGATAATTATTCATAGACATCAAATACGGGAGGCCTATTAGAAGGATTAGCATCCATACATTTATTTGCTAATTTGATTTAACATTCAATAGTATCTTTAGTAAGTTCAGGACGTAATTCATTACATATTTGAATAGCCTACTCTTCACCATACTCAATATTGTAATGAGGTGGTCTTCCTATAGACATTTCATCCAAAACTATAGATGTTCGCCACAATTATATATGGTCGTTTATTTAACACTTTCGGAGCAACATAAGGCAAAACACCATAAATACTATCTTCTAATTCAGATTTATCAGCCTTTCTAGATAGCCCTAAATCTGCAATATAATATATTAAATCTCCATTAATATATTGATTTTACAATATATTACCACTATGAAAATCTCCATGAACATATCTTGCTTCATGACTTAAAATTAAATTTATTGATACATCAACAAGTTGCTTCAATTTATTTTTCCAATTAAGTTCACTAAAATTTGATAATAATAGCTTATAAAGACTTCCTTTATTTGCATATTGAAATACCACCAAATGTTCATTATTAGTTGTGTTTGAGTGAGTTCATTCACTTCAAGATGACTACTCGCTAAACTACATTCTATATAATTTTAAATAAAATTTATGATGTTAATCATTTATTGATATTAAATCATGATAAACCATTTTAACTTACCTCTCTTAAAAAATTATTTGTGAACCAGGTAAATGTTATAAGTGCAACTGTACGTGGTAGTGTACGTGGTAGTGCACGTTGTCGTATGTATGCTCCACCATTACCTTTAATTACTATTTTACCATCTTATCATGTTGCTGCCAAATCCACCCTCACCAATCTTTTGAATATGATCTAGTTTATTAAAAGGAATCCATTCGATTAGTCAAAAAAAATCCAATAGAAATTCTTTAATGCAATCGTCGGCATCCTTATTTCCATTTGTCCATCCTTGAGTTGTTTTCTGAAATTCACATGATTGACATCAACCGTAACATGTGTTATATTGGTTGCAACCTGCATATTTTCCTTTTTATATCTCTTCTTAAACCAAATTTATCAAATACCAACATATATTCATTTGTTTCAGTGCATTGAGTTAAACCATATACTTTACGTTTATTAATTTTAACTGCACACATTCCAGAAACTTATTAAATAGTTATAAATATTTAAATAAAATTAAAATAAAAGTTATTATATAGTAATACAGCATAATAATAAATTACATATTTTATCTTAATTCTTTTAAAGTGCTACTAAATTTTGTGATCTAGTTTACGTTTTTAAGTTCAAATCTATATGATGATTTACGCAATTGTTTACGATTATTTATATTCCCAAAGTTCCAAAAACTATCTACATATCGTATTCCATCTATCCAGGTCGCTAAAAATCTATCATCAATTTTTTGAACATCATCTAATCTATTAAAAGAAATCCATTCTACAACATCAGCATATTTAATAGCTTTAAGTTGAAATCCTTTAATGCAGTTATAGACATCCTTGTTGTTTTCTGAAGATCACACAAGTGCAAGATGTGTTATATCGGTTGCAATTAACACATTTTCCACACCAATCCCATCATTTATAACCAAATTCATCAAATACTAACACATACACATTTGTTGCAGTACTTTGAATTAATCCAAAAATTTTATAATTATATAACTATACATAATCTCTAAACTTTATAAAGTATCTAATAAATTTGGTTGTCTAGTTAATGCTTAATCTCCACTTGATAAGATGGATTACGTGATTGTAGAGTTCTGGATAAATGGATAACGGATTTATCCGAATTGGAACTCTACGTGATTGTATATACCAGATTCACTAGATTTTGCATAGCGTATGCCATCTAATCATGTCGCTAAAAATATATCACTGACTTTTTGAATGTTATCTAATCGATTATAATGAATCCATTCGATTACTCTTGCATAATACGCAGCATTAAGTTGAAATTCTTTAATGCAATAATTGACATCCCCATTTCTATTCGCCTATCCTTGTGTTGTTTTCTGAGGAACTTATGTCAGACACCAAGCTGGTGATATGTTAAATAGGTTACAATTTGCACATTCTCCAAAACCACAGATCTTTTAGAACCAACTTCATCAAATACTAGCATATATTCATTTGTTGTATTGATTTCACAAAGAAAACATATAATAAAATAAAATTTGCTTTTAATTTTAATCATCTCATTTTCATTTTTTTTTCTGTTCAATATGGCTTCAAACAATTTGCTAGTTTTTTTTTTTTTATTTCTTTTACTTCAAACCTTTAATACAATAGTAAATGATTATATGAGTAATCAAAAAAATAAAAGAAATAATATGAATCATTCAAATTATAATTATTGCATGATACTCTTGCAGACTCTACAAGTATATATTAAAATCAGTCATACATTTACGTTATTTTAAGTTAAAAATATTGAAAAGCTGAATATTACAACTGAAATTATAATTATATTACGTAAATTTGTTTTATAGAAGATTTTATGCTTTAATCATTTAATTATTGTTTAAGAGATGAAACAAATCACTAATATTAGACTAAAGTATATACAAACATGTTTGAAAGATAAACTTGATTATTAAATAATAATCGCAAACAGATTTAAAATGAATAGTAAAAAATGAATTAAATTGTATAAATGACATTAAATTATCAAATATTCAAAATCTACACTCTCCAAACTTAGAGTTCGAATCCCACTAGCGACGAAAAATTCGAATTTAAGAAAATGCATTTAATAATATAAATTTAAGATTTCACAGTTCGTTATGTCCAAAAGAAGTTTATTATGTTCAAAAGAAGTTCATTATAGTAACCAAATTAGTACAAATAAATAATTCAAATGAAGTTATAAAAGATCATAGAGTTCTAAGCATATAATGGTGAGTTAAATAACAGAAAGATTTGTATGCTCATGTATATAGTTCACCTTGTTATAGTGAACTTTTGAAAAATGAAAAATTTTGTATTATGAAATTTTTAAAATATGTTTAATATTCTCTGATATAAGTTGTGAAGATTTTTCCCAGCCTGGGAACTTCACTATAATATGAGTGAGTTGTTTTCTTTTATTTCTACATAAGAGCATCTTTATTTTTTGTCAAAATATGAATAACAAAAAGAAAAATCGTATACAATTTATTTTCATATAATTAATTGATAGTTCTTCCTTACCATTGATTTGCAGAAGTTGTGAAATTCGATCAAATGCAGTAACTACACTTTAGAGTTTTATTCCAAAAATTGTATTCAACTTTATTCTTTCATTTATATCTTAGTTTCTTCTAGTATGTATTTTTTTTGTCAATATTATTAATTAATCATTCTTATTGTCAATATTATTAATTAATCATTCTTATAATTGAAACTTTATTCAATCAACCTTTAAGCTTATGCTAATTAGGAATAGTTGAAAAATTCTGTACCTGGATTGATAGAGTTTATGAACATTTATCAAGAAATTAATGTTTTTTTCTCTAAATTTTAGAATTATTATTGCATTTACAGTTACATCTTATTGATTAAATATTTACCTTAATTTGATGTAAAAACATGTATATATTCAAATTGAAATAATAATAATGACTTTATTAATAACGTATTCACTATGCATATATGTGTACCTCCAAGTGAAAACCAGAATAACAAATTATAACATCATTTAAAGTCTATATTCTGTTGTCTAAAGAATTCTATTTTTAAAAATCTTGGTTTTCACTTGGCAGCACTTATGTTTTATTACAGATCTAACCTACGTGAATATATATTAATACATTCTCAACTATGCAGCACACAACTTATCAAAATCACAATTAATCTTACCACTTAAAATATCCTTAAATTTACTCCATTTACAATATTCACCATCACAACCCGGAATTATATATGGTTCAAAATTAACTACAAGTCGCATTAATGTATCTTTACCTGGAGAAGTATAAATTTCAAAGTATATAGTAGAAGTCCAATATAAATTTTTTTGTAATGTATACTTTAAGCTTTTTATTTGGTCAAGAGTTAAATCTGCTGTAAGTGGGTATTCGTTTTTAAATACATCCTATAATTAAACAGTATTTATTAGTAATTAATAAAATAAATGAATAAATTCCTAAATTGTATTAAAGATAATAAAATTTTTTTTTACATACCAACGTAGAAAGTACAATCATCTCAGTAAATGCATGACCAAATTTAAGGTCAGCTACCATCCGAGATTTCCCATTTAAGTAATCCTCAACGCTATTTACAAACTGTGTAATGTAGGCACAACCCAATTGCTCATTAAGAGGATTCCCATATGAATATTGAAAATAGTATTTCATATCCCAATAATATCGAGCTAATAGAAGATCATCATCACTTAACAATCCACACCAAGTGTCAGTTCGATTAAAGAGAAGGATCCAGAACTCACAATAATAATATATATATGTTATTAAACTCGGATCAAGAGGTGGACTGATATTGTATTTTTTGGACATTCTTTCTGCTATTGGTGCTAAAGTTTTATTCCCATAAGAATAAGATTGCTCTATATCGAGTGTAAAATTATTTGCAACTGTCTGGTTCCAACGTAGACAAGCACTAAACATGTCTAAAATATAATCTTGTCTCTAAATATATAAAATAATATCGTAATACGAGTAATTAAAATTAATAAATAAATAAATTAATATATACTTATATAAGGCCGTTTGAAGTTAAAACTTCGTTTAACATTATTTTTTTTCGTATTTACAGGGTGAGGGAAGAAATTAATCAAACAAAAAAAAAATAAACATATAGTGTATCGAACAATCCGACAGTAAGCCGGAAACAATTCGGCAGCAATGCTGATATTTATATCGATCAAGTTGTTACTTCTATTTGTTTAATTTGAGGGGAGCTCAGGAGACGGAGGGGGAATAACGTTAAACAAAAAATCAACTACAAATGGCCCAATATTTACCTTTGGCAAAGACCAAATGTATACTGGCTCATTTTTACAGGCGCCTACGGGACCAGTTCCACCAATTAGTCCTTCTGAAAAAGACATGGCTGATTGACTGACTCTGTAATATATTTAATGAATATATTGTAAGCATATTGTGCAGTATGTCATGCCCGAAATTGCGACTTCAAACACATTAACGTTAAGTTGCTTAGATTAATACTTGTGACAGCTGAAACTGGTATTGGCTAAGTTGGGATTTGGGGCACTATGTAATCTACTAACATATTAAACCTATAAAAATTTACTTATACTCTTTTATTAATAATTGTAACCACCCTAAATCTAAACATACCAAGGAAAAAATTTTAAAAAATACGCATAATAAAAAATTTTTAAATTTATATTATAACAAAATAAACTCAGTTTCAGCCACCACAATTCTTAAGGACTCGAGTAATGAATATACGCAAATTTACCGAGAAGAATCAGTAGTCTGAAATTTCACAACATCTTCATCATATTCGACACTTTTCCAAAATTTTTCATATCTTTTAAGAGATTGTAAACCACTGTAATAAGATTCGAGTTTACCTCTTGTAGTTAATCGCAAAATTTTTTCCACGGAGAAAGGATTTTTAGGCTAAAATTTATTTTTTTTATTTAAAATAATATTTTCTATTTGTTATACTGTATTAAATAAAAAATAATTTACCCAATCTTTTGCTACGGAAACATTTGCAAATGCTTTATCAATTTTATCAAAAGATAGAAACTGTATTGGGCTCGGAAATCTTGATCCTAATAAATAGTTTCCCAAAAAAAAATTACTTTGTATTATCAAAATTTTGTTATGTATATGAATAAATAATTACCATGTCTAATAAGTAAAAATAATTGATTTAATGTATAATTATCAGGATAGTTTATAGGCTTAATTTCATCAAGAAAAAAAACATCCTTTGTTGGTCTAATTTCGAAAATTTGATTATTGATAAGATAATCAGGAGAGCGCTTATATAAAAATGGTTCATGTTCTAAGCTTAACGTTAGTTTATAGAATAAAAATAATGAGAAAATAAAAGTAAACAATTGAATACTATATGAAATCATTGTCTTTTAGAATTATGAATCTTTTCAGTGATATCAAACAATTATATACAAAAATCGCAAAAAGATGATCGACAAATCGCATCGGCATGCAGTAGATAAAATGGTTTGTTATACAAATTTTTTTTTTTTACACTATGATAAAGAAATAAATTAACCTCACTTCTCCGCGGTAAAGCTGTTACAAGAACCTGATTACTACATTTTTCGTCGATTGTTACTTCATTACCAACCCTTACGCAATACCGTTTCATTTCTTCCCATTACTTAGGTCCGATCCCTTCGGTCCTGACTCAGTGAATAGGGACTTCGATTAGAACTCGGTCCTTGAGTCAAGTCCGTGAATTAGCCAATCACATGCATGCCCTTCTAGAACCAAAGACATGCATATGGGACTTTGTTCGGGAGATATAAATTAGCAAATCACATGCATATGGGACCTTGTCTGGGAAAAGGCTTGAGTCGGTCCTAAAAAGTTCGTATGAAGTCAACTCAAGGACCGGGTCAGACAAGCTTTTAACAGCTCTACCTCACGACATTCTCGGTTTAATGCTTCATAAACTGTAATCTTGATCGATGAATTACTTCATTTTTACTGCATGTATAATAGTAGGTGGAAGTGTATATAAAGAGAGAGACTTTCACTGGCGGGTAAGGAGGAGAGAATACGTATATAATATAGAATAATCCGATGCTTAAGAGGCTCCTGCTTGTGAAATAGAGTAATAATAACAGAATGAACAATAAAAACCTATTTGTTAACAAAATAAGTAATCCTTAATTATCGTGCATCAATCCTGACATATGCCAATGGTAATACGTATTAAGTGTAAATTTTTTTACGCAGTGCGATCATCCTTTGCTATTTTCATCTGTTATACAGCGATCTCCATATAAAAAATTCCCTTGCAAGAGACCAATCATGACGTTATAGATTATAGGTTAAATATGATTTTAATATATACTAGGTAATAATTGCATACGAATAAAATAAATAATATATAGTTGTAGCGATGGGAATTTCTAATTGTAATTATGAATTGTTAACGATAAAAAATTAAAAATTAATTAATAATTTAACAATAATTCCTAAGCAATTAATAAATGAATTATCAAGAATATCTTCATAGAAAATCAATTAACCATTAATTTTGATAAAATCATTAATGTATGTTTGCTCATGTTTAATAATTAATATATTCAAGGGATAATTAATAAATACGCATAAGAATTTGATTTAAACAAATATAGAGAGCGGTAATGGTAACAGGAGATTCTATCATCGTTACCAGGGCGTAAAATACCAACTTATTTACCGGCCATTCAAAAATATCGTTCTTGATTCAAATTATTTTAATTATTCTAATGCATCAAAAAAGACACTTGAAACAATGGGCTACGTGGCCGGTAAATGAGTTGATATTTCACGCGTATTTCTGCAGGTACGTAACTCTTGTGAAACCATTATCAGGTGAAAAATACATGGTTTTTATCGCGAGAAAATTTTTATACTAGAGTACATAAAAAATATTGGAAAATATATTTTAATTCGCTGATTACACATTCCATTGATCCTTTCTATACATATTGGATAATTCAATTATTAATTGTAAAAATGATTTATTAAATTAACAATTTCATGTTAACAATTAATAATTTGAAATTCCCATCACCGCATACGGGATAGAGATGCAAAATCGGCTGATCGGCTTGTATATTCAGTATAATAAAAACCGATTAATCAATAGAGCCGATCAGCCGATTTTGCATCTTTAATACGGGAGAATACAATAACGGTTTTATTCAATGATTTACTTTCTCAGTTTATAAAATAAGATCAATAATTTTATCAAGTAAAAATACAAATCGACCAGGCGGCCCCCAGAGTACGGAAAAATGGCGCAGCTGCAGCATAAAATAACTTATCGATGACAAACCTTAAAGCCATTCATCAGTACAAGAGGTTTGAGGTTCTGAATAAATACCGACTATTGTTCGTACAACAATTTGATTGGTAAATTATCAACTGCGAGTGTGGCTGCGCCATCAATCCGTATTCTGAGTGGCTGCTCTGGTTGATTCTAAAAATACTATAAAAATAATTGATTTATTTTATAGACTGACTATAGTAAAGCATTGAATAAAAATAATCATTCATAAATCTGAATAGCTTATTTTAATGAATTTTCTCTATATTCATCTAAATTATGATAAATATAAACTTGTGTATCTCATTTTAAAATTTGATTACTAAATTTTCATATACATCTAAATTAATACAAACAAATAAATTAAATAAGGTAGCTGCGCAATACAGTTGCGCTAAAACCAGGAACGGAATAAGTTCTGATAAATTATTTACTCAACTCCTCGAATAACAGGTTTTTATTATATAACTATAGCATTTAAGTAGATAACAGAAAGTAATTCAAGCCAGGGCTAAAATGACATATAGTAAATACCGGACATTTACTGTGCCACCGCCCATTGTCTAAAGTATCGTTCTTGATGTAAAATTTATAA